AGAAAAGAAAATGGTGCCTATTTATAGTTAGACAATGAGCTAGTTATTTACTTTATTGGATCTCAGTAGTCACTCCTTTATATAAATCAGTGAACTCTAATAGAACAGTATCAGACTGCCTGACTTAGGGGATCCATTCTCCACAATCACCTATGTGGGGTGAAATACACAGAGAAACAGAAGGACGAGCAGAATGGTGAAAATGGGCAAGTGACTCTGACCTCCAACATGACTTAGTTTTAAGTCTGGAATTATTAAAAAATGAACAAGGCAGGGGCCGGGGAGTTAGCTCAGTGGTTCCTCCACCTGCCTCGCAAGGGCAAGGTCCCGAGTTCGATCCCAGGTACAAAAAAAAAAAAGGCAAACTCATACCCAAGTACTCTCAAGTTCAAAGACACACTCCAAAACCAGATGCCAGGGGTATGAAATGATCTTTTGTTATGTGAGCTAAGTACACCTTTGCTTTGTTACTAGTAACTGGACACACCTCTACCCCATCACCCACCCAGTAAAGATTATTTAAAGCAACTAAGAAATGGTGCTCTAGATTAATTTTTGCAAGGGGAAAGTTCACCTATTACTTAAGAAAACTCAAAAACATTCATGCTACAGAAAGGAAACTCATTTCTTGAGTTACTGTTTTAAAATTCTATAGACTAGTATGGAAAGATACAGCAAAAGACTAAAACTAACCACTCTTTTTAACTTAGGTCACACAGCAGGTAGTGTGACACTCAAGTAAGAAGTGAATGTGACAGTTTTAGAAACATAAAAAGACCAAGCATTTGTAAGGTATTATTAAAAGGATACGTGACTGGTGAAGTGTTCCCAATGATCCAATAAATTGATAAGTTCACCATGAAAGCGATTATGCCAGAGAGCAGCACCATAAGCTACAAATAAAACAAAAGAATGATTAACACAATGTACTGTAATCATTATGATCTGGTAAAATGCATTTCATTAGAATTTTTAAAACTCAAACAGCTAAAAACAAGATTAGAGGATGAGCATGGTGGTGCACCGAGAGGATGAGGCAGGAGGATTACAAGTTCAAGCTCAACTGGGGCAATTTAGCAACTTATCGAGAGCCCTTTTCAAAAATAAAAGGCAAAAAAAGGGCTGGAGAAGTAACTGAGTGTAAAGGCCCTGGATTTAATCCCCAGCATTGAGGGAAAAAAAGGACTAGAAAAAGAATTAATTTGGGACACAGCAAGAATTGCATCCAGCCAGCGATTTAGCTCAGTGGTTACACCACCTGCCTCGCAAGCACAAGGTCCCAGGTTTGGTCCCCAGTACCAAAAAAAAAAAGGATTGACTACCCAAGAGCAGGGTGAGTATTGCTAAAAATGTAACTGAGTGGCCGGGGATTTAGCTCAGTGGCACCACACCTGCCTTGGAAATGCAAAGGACCTGAGTTCTATCTCCAGTACAAAAACAAAACAAAACAAAAACACCAAAAAACAAAACATCATCAAAATGTAACTGCAGAAGAATCAACGGACAATTCTACACAAAATAAACTTGTCTTTGAATATGAATTTCTATGTTCATTTTTCTTATTCACGGGAGGAAGAAATATTTTGTAATCATTTTTTTTTCTTTTTATTGAGGTTATTGGTACAATCTAGGTATACAGTACAATTACATTCATCATTGGGATTCTGTACCTTTACATAATAGGTCTTGATTCTCATTTTTTCCCCTTGTCCCTGCCCTCCCTTTACCCCCTCCTCCCCTCCCCATTTACAAACACTTTATTTCCATTTTTTCAGTTTCTCATATTTTTTTCCTCTCCCTTATTACCTCTCCCCCACCCTTCACCTTTAGCCCTTTACTTCCTATTTCACATTATTAATTGTCTCATTAGGATCCTGTGTACTATTATAGTTTTTCACACCAAAGAAACTATTCGGTATTTCAGTTAAAGAAATCTCTGTATGAACATTAAAAATAGGGAATCCTAAAATAAAACTAAAAAGGAAAGTAAAAGAGAAAAGGCAGTGATGTAACATAAAAATAATCCTTAATTCTGGAGATGAAAATGGTCCCTGAACATATTTAAATTGCTTCTCGCTCTTAGAGTCTTATCTTATTCTTTTTTCATTATTTAGAGAATACTTTCTTAGTTTCTGTAATCAAACCCACGTAGATATGACCTTACATATTTAGTACAATGTGTAATCATTTTTTAGAAATAGGTCTTGCTAAGTTGCCCAGGTTGGATTCTAGTCCCTGGACTCAATGAATCCTCCTGTCTCGGCCTCTCAGGAACTGCAGGCATGTACTACCATACCTACCTGTAATAATTTATTAAGAAACATATTATAGAAGAACCATAAAACAAAGGCAAGTATAAAAAAGAGCAAGGAATTCTTATAATCCCAATCACCATGCCATTTTTGAATATGGCCTTCCAGGTCTTTTTCCATTGTTCACTTTTAGTCCTATTTGAATCAATAAATATCCACTAGATAGCTACAAATTTAGGGCCAGGCCTTGAAAGGAACATACTATATACAAAGTTTTTTCCCTCAAAGAACTCAGTAATTACCTGAGTACATTATAAAAAAAAAACATGATAATAAAAGTTCATATATGTGCCAGAAATTGTTCTAAATATTTTATAGGAATTAATTAATCAAATTTTTTCTCTTTTTTTGGTGATAGTGGGGATTTAATACAAGGCTTTCACACTGAGCTATATCCCCAGACCTTTTTTATCTTTTCATCTGAGACACTAAATTGCCCAGGCTGGGCTCAAGCTTGTGATCCTCCTGAGTCAGCCTCCCAGAGACGTAAGATTACAAATGTGGATCACTCATTTAATCCTCTTAAACCATGAGGTAGCTGTAAAAATATTCTTTTTTAAAGATGAGAGAGCAAAGCATAGAAAGCTAAAGTAAGTGGCTTAAAATGGTCAGGCTAGTAAGAAGCAGCACTGAGATTTAAACCCAGGCAGTCTGGTTGTGGAGTGCCTGCTTTTACCCCACTGTGACTCTCAAAAGCACACAGAGATAAAGGGGTTAGGGTTCCCAGCAGAGGGAAACACAGGTCAATGTGAGGAATTATGCAAGTACAGGGTGTGTGTTCAGAGAAAGGAAACAGATCAACTTGGCCAAGGAGAGAGGAATGAATGCTGTGCTACTGCATTCACACACAATGTTCTGCTCAAACCTAGCCTACAATTTGCTTTAAAAATTATAAAACTGGGCTGGGGATTTAGCACAGTGGTTCCGCCACCTGCCTCGCAAGAGCAAGGACCCAAGTTTGATCCCCAGTATCAAAAAAAAACAAAAACAAAACAAAACCAAAAACCAAAAGAAACAACAACAAAAAGAAACAGAGAAAACTCTGGACATGAAAAGGATACTATCAACAAAGCAAAAAATTTATAAAACCATTTTATACTTTTGAAGAGAATTTAGATAAAATATTAGCTATGATTTAAATTATTAAGCAGTTTAAATTTCAAGGAAAACATATATTTGAAGACATTTTAGTCTCCTAGGTAAGTTTTATCAGTTTTAGTTTTTATTTATTTTTTGGTACTGGGGATTGAACTCAGGTCCCTGTGCTTGCAAGGCAGGTGGCGGAATCACTGAGCTAAACGCCAGCCCTCATTTTTATTCTTTTTTGGTACCGAGGATTGAACTCAGGACCTTCTGCTTGTGAGGCAGGTGCAGCGCCACTGAGCTAAATTCCAGGCCCGTATCAGATTTTAAATTAGTATAGTAGTAAGAGGACTAGAGTAGGATTTGCATCCTTTTTAGGTAAAGTAATGCTGCATATGATTTGAAACAATAGTGTCTGTTAAACAGAAACACAGCTCCTTAAAGATTTTTTAAAAATTTAAAAAAATATGTAAAATATTGTTAATTTTACTGAGTTCACAAAATGTCACATGCCTATTTCTTGATGACCTAGGATATCACTCAAGACAATAACTTGCCCTACTTTTTTGACTCAGTATTGCCCCCTAGGGACAAGAAGGAATGAAGGTGACTTTCTCTTAACTAAATGTCTTCAGCTTGTCTATTCCGAGGAGCTGCTTTATGCTTTCTGCTTCCTTTTCCCTCTCCTCCTATCTCTCTCTATCCATCTGCCTCTGTCTCTCTAGCTATATACAGTGGACCCTTGACTTATGAACTGGATTGGTTCCTGAGGGCTGGTTGTAACTCAAGTTGGTTTTAAGTCAATACAAATGAGATCTGGATGTTTACCTGGGTAAACGCTATAGATAACGAGAGGCAGATTAATCTTCCATTAACTTATTTAACCCAAGTTGTTTGTATGTCAGACTGGTTGTGACTTAACAGTCTACTGTATCTCTTTCTCTCTGACAGTCCTGCTATGCAGCCAGGCTTGTCATTAATTCCTGACCCTTCTGCTTCAGCCTCCCAAGCTCTGAGATTACAGGCATCTGCCACCATGCCTCATTTCCTGTTGTTTAAACCTGTCAGAGAAGTATCACAAAAGGCCAATCCCCTTCTAATTTCAGGTGTCCAAGAAGAGGCTAGGATTCTGTAAAGAGAATATATTATGTGAGAGATGGTCCAATGAGTGCTACTTCAGAAAAAAGCGTATGCCAAAATAGAATACCTATCAGTCTCAGGGGCTGCCTAGCAGAGTGCCCAATGTGGACTTTGTGATCTAGTGGCAGACTCCTAGCTATGTGGGAGGCTGAGGAGGGAAGACTACTTGAGCCAAAGAATTTGAAAGCAGCCTGAGCAATATGGGAAGACCTATCTCAGACAAAAGTGCAGAGGGTGCTGGAAGTATAGCTCAGTGGTACAGCACTTGCCTAACATGCACAAGACCTTGGGTTCGATCCCAGCACTGTGGGGGAAGGGAGAGGAATATTGACTTTGGAGTTGGAATGCATGAATTTAAATTCTGGCTCTGTTTACTAGCTGTGCTATATTAGACTAGATATTTAACTTTTTATCTTTCATTTTCCTCAAGAGTAAAACTGGGAATAATGCTGTATTAACCTAACAAAGTTATGAGGAGCGAATAAGTTAGTATTTTAGTGCTTTAAACAGTCCCTGGAACAGAATAAGGGCTGCAAAAATATTTGGGAAATTAATACCATCAATAAGAACCACATTCTCATTGTGTTCTAGATGGTAAAGTTGTGGCAAGGTGAACTTAATGGTATCTACAGTGCTTTCTCCAAAACAGATCACATACTGGCCTACACAGTACGTGTAAGTAAATGCAAAAGAATTAAAATTATCTCAAGCATATTATCAGATCACAGTGTGATAAAACAAGAAATCAATGGCAAAAAAAAAAACCACACAGAAACTACGCAAACACATGGCAATTAAATAATACCCTCTTGAATAATCTACAGGTTGCAGATGAAATTAAAGTAATTAGATAGTTACTACAATCAAATAATAATGTCAGTATGACATACCAGAACCTATGTGACACAATGAAAGCAGTACTAAGAGGGCAGTTTATAGCAGTGAATTCCCACATCAGAAAAAAGAGCAAACTCAAATAAATTACCTGATGATGCACATCAAGGTCCCAGAATAACAAGAACAATCTAAATTTAAAGCCAGTAGAAAGAAGGAAATTATAAAGCTCAGATCAGAAAAGAAATTAATGAAATTGAGACTAAAAATTCAATACAAAGAATCAATGAATCAAAGAGTTGGTTCTGATCGCTCAAGCACCGGGAAGGTAGGCTGGCCCGATCCACCGCGGGAAGGAGAACCACGCCTGCTCCCGACCCAGCCGCGCCAATGCTCAAGTGCCAGGAAGGTAGCCGCACGGGCGCCCTTGAACCCCCATAATCCCTGCCCCCGCACTCTCAGACCTCCTGACTGTGCCAGTCTTTGGACCCACTCTGCAAAGACAGAGGTGGTCATCAAGGGTA